GGGGGGAACAGACTTAAAAAAGTGTTTGTTTTTCCCCTACTACTTGTTTGTCTTGAGTTTTAGTGACGTTTTATTTCAAGTTTACCGAAACTTGAAAAACTCATTTTATTCCATTACTGGAATAATGTGGAATAACAAAACTTGAATCCCAGACCAGGCACCAGCCTCTTACCGGCTCTTTCTTCACTGTTTTAAAATATTTTAACTGCTACAGGTGTTAAGGGATTTATCAGAGTAGTTTATCTGCTTTATACCCAAATTGCGTGGGGAATTGGAGGAGGAAAAATACTTTTTAAAGTTTTTTTTTGAAGTATACAGAAACCGAATTGAGATTTTTTAGTTAAAGCAAGAATTCAAGCTTATCTCCAAAGCTGCCTCTGGAATTTCCACACAGGGTGGGGTTCGGTTTGAGAAAGCCAGAGGTGTTCACAACTGCAGCTGAGTCCGGTGCTATCCTGGCCCCATTTTTCTTACATACTTACGCTAAACGCATGCACCCACCCCATCTGTTCGGTTTTCAGTGCCAAGATAAGGGTACTTGCCAGATACTTAAGCAAGTTGATATATTAGAAATGTCTTTCTTACGAGTTCTTTATTGTATCTTTCAATACAGCCCCCAAATTCCACCCCATCCGCAAGTCAGGCTGCCAGAGTCTCATGCTGATCTACAGTATCTCACGTGAAAGCCACGGGTCTAATTTCAGGAGTGGGTATTTTGGCAGTTAGTCTGCGTTTTTGTCAGAGAAAGACAGAAAAGAGTATAGCAACGGATTAGAATTTTATTTAATTTTCAACTGAAACTCCCAAAAGCTCACTCTCAACAAAACAGCTGTAATATTATAAATGAACCTTTATTAAAGACACTTCAATGCCGTTTGTTAGACACTTCAATATCTTACATGTTTTTCAATGTACAACATTGTACCAAATTTTCTAATAAATAAATAACTTTGTACACAAAAGTAATACTTCCTCTTTCACATTGCCTCTTAGAAGCAGCAAATTCACATATTTAGTGGAAGTCATAACATTAGGCAGTTAACTTTATTCAGAAACATTATTTTCAACGTTAATGTGGCAAACATGCTTTGTATCTGCAACGGTGATGACATTTCTGCCAGCAAAATGAGTCAATTAAATCATTCCCACCTTCCCCGTGGCCCCAGTTCCACCGTTTTCACCTTGCGAGTCAGTTCTGAAGCATACTTTTCCCTTGAGTAAAGGGAAAATTACGCTCGGTTTATAATTTTCTAACATCCATTTCCTTTGCTTTGAATAAACTTGGCACTCAACATAATTCGCCACCTGTCTCAAAGTGCAAACATGTCAATAGTCAGGAACCGATACAGACAGGTACCTGGCTGAATTATGCCTTGCTTCCCCAAGGTCAGGTTCAGCTGGCTAGCCTACCGTGAAACCGGCCATCAGCTACTGGGCAACAGCCAGAGGTCTCTCCCTTAGAGGAGGTGGTGGCTCCTCAAGGCGAGGCCGGACAGGACGCGGTAGCACTCGGGCAGATCCCTAAGGGATGGATCTGAACAGAAGATTAGACGTTTCCCCGCCCGTATCCCTGATGCTTGCTTTGAGCCGCAGCACTAGCAAAGGTGGATTTCCACCAGACTCGGCTTCAGGGGAACTGGCACTTGAGCTGCTCCGAAGGAAAAAAGTAACAGAACCCCCTACTAAACCTTCCCCCTAAAGTAGTCATCACCAGAGTTAGCAACCTTACGTTAGCAGAACTCAAATTACAAATTACAACTGGAAGGGAGTCCTCCATCCACAGGTACCAACACCAACAGAAAGCAGCCTTTCTAGAAATAAAAAGCATCATAGTGAAGCTAGAAGTGACAAAGATCTGTCTGACCAACGTGGGTGTTCTTTTTTTCCCCCCGTTCATGGATGAACTTAAAAGACCACATAAAAATACTTGGGACATTTCCACTTAACAGCATACTTTCAACCATAGGTACACCGTTTCCCCTCCAAATGAGTGTATTTCTGAATAGCCCAGAATTGCTACACAAAGCACTTAATTCATTTGAAGCAGATATTTTCATATAAAGAGCCTGGCTGCAGACGGGGGTAACGGTGTTCAACAAGAAAGCGTAATACCGTGTTGCAGGGGAAAAAAAGCATCAGTTGAATTAACGGTACAGCTGTCGGCTTCGGAGTGTGATCCTAGTTCTGTTGTCAAAACAGCTCTATGGTTTCAAACCCCCGGCAGAACAGATGCATTTTTCTGGGTGTGAAAATGCATTATACTGGCACGGGTCATTCCTTCTAAGCAGGGCTAGGCTGTGTATCATTACACGCACCTTATACAGGTAAAGCTGCATCCGTTTGGGAGGGGAAATGTCTGCAGTTAGCTCTGCAGGTGAGCGGCGCTGTAACAGCACATACGGGCAGATCAACGCCTTCTGCTATGATGCTTTTTGAATGGTGCGATATATGAGACGACCCCACAGTGTCCTGCATGAATGACTTATTTTGGTAACGACTGCTCGCTAATCGTGACAGCCTTTTTCTCTGGTTCTTTCAGGGCTCTGCACTGTTGCTGAATTGTTTAGTGCCTCTTGTGTGGTCCGCTCTAACGTATCACACAGTCAC